GTCTGGAGAATGTGCCCCTCATAGTGTAGACCTGGGGGTGGGGCAAGCAACTTGTCCAATTTCTCTATTCCCTATAGAACATTAAAGTTAATATGTGGGGAGAAGGACCACATGTACAGTCATCTTTAGTGCCCTGATGAAAACTCACTGCAGCTGAAAAAAGAAACTGAAAACAACAAGAACAACAACAACAAACCACCTCTACCCCTCAGAAAGAGACTGGAATTCAATATGACAGTCAAGTAGAAAATCCCAAAGCAACCACAAAAAATCTCCTAGAATTGATATAGAGTTTGTCATGGTTGTAGGATGGATATATAATCAGTATATAAAAAATAAATTCTGTTTTCTATAATGGCAGTAAACAATTGGAATTTGCAACTATATATATATATATATAATTTATCATAGCAACATAGAATAAAATGCTTAAGTATGAACCCAACAAAATATGTGCAGGATATATGTACTGAACATTATGAAGCACTGAGGAAAGAAATCAAACAGAACCAAATAAATAGAGAAATATACCATGCACATGGAAGTGGAAGACAAAAGAGTAAGATATTTTATTGTCAGTATTGCCAAATTGATCTATAGATTCAATATAACCCTAGTGAAAAATCCTACCTCACTTGTTTTTGTAGATATCAGTAACTTGACTCTACAGTGCAAATGAGAATTTTGGGGGTGATGAAACTTTTCTGTATGGAAGTGTGATAAATACATGACAGTATACCTCTCAAAATCCTAGAAGCGTACAACACAGAATGTATGTTAGTGCGTGTATTTTTTTATCGGCTAATTCAGGATGGAATGCAGACTGTGATAAATGAATCTGACTGCGTTGCAAATATTTGACAACCTCAGTGTATATAATGGACAGAAAAGGTGCTGGCTAAATTATCTTGTAAAAACAATCATGACTGCGTACTGTAGACCTAAAGACAAAAGGAATATTGCATGCGCGTGTTACTCTAGTTTCTTGCAGGGGTGTGGGTTTGCAATTCTGAAATTGCTTTAAATATATATTAGAGTTGAACAAAGAAGTAAATATTTTGTAGGTAATGAGAACCAGGTTTTCCTGTACTGAAGAGCCAAGTTAGAAATAAGGAAAGAGGGAAGGTCATAATGAGTCCTGTGGTGCTGGATTGCAGTTGGTGGAGTTGGAAGTAACAGCATAATAGTTATTGTTATATTGTAATCTCTCTATCAGCTTCTAGTTAGGAGATTTTTAATTAGTTGTTTTCCTGTTATGGGTGTGATCTATCCTCAACAGGATGATAAACACCTTGAGGGGAATTTCTGTCTCTTTAATGATACAAGATGACATTGGGATGTTTAGAGATCATGGTCTATATCAAATACTGTCTGATTCACTATCAACACAAAAGCCTAGTAAATTGCCTTTTTCAGATTAAAGTTAGAATTGCTTACAGTTCTTAGAAAAATGAATTTTGGCTACAAAAGTGAGACCTTTTGCTTTTATTAAAAGACATAGGTGGCACATATACATTAAGAGAAGCACATTTAGGTTATAAACATCCAGCCCACCAGAAATGTGTATTTTAAACTCATTACTTTGATTGTATCACATCATCTATCAGATATAGGTATTTATAGGTTTTTATCAGCAAAAAATACTTTGAAATATACAGTCCAAAATGTTGCTTACTGTGTATTAGTTGAAAATTTCTAGTGATCTGTGTTTGCTAGATTGATTTTGCAGTACCATGCTATAGAAATCCTATAGAATCATTCAATTATGTAGCATCTCAGATGAAAAAATACCAGGTACTATTTTTGTGAAGTATCTAGGACATCTATGGTTCCAGAGAAATTGGTCTTCTAGTACCAGATGTAAAGCAATCTGAGTGATCAAAAATCTGCCTATTGGTTTGTCCCTCTCTCTCTCCTCTCTTTTTTTCCCTTTGCTCATTTGTTTTGTTTCTTAAATTCCACACATTAGTGAAATCATAAGGCACCCATCCCTGTCTAACCGACCCATTTCGCTCAGCATCATACTCTCCGGCTCCATCCACATTGTTGCAAATGACAAAATTTTATTCACATCTTCCTCATCCATTCATCAGTGGATGGACACTTGGGCTGCTTCCATATTTTGGCTATTGCAAATATTGCTGCTATAAATGTAGGGGTGTATGTATCCCTTTGAATTAGTGCTTTTGTATTCTTTGGGTAAATACCCAGTAATGTGAATTCTGGATCTTAGGGTAGTTCTATTTTTAACTTTTTGAGGAAACTCTGTACTGTTTTCCACAGTGGCTGCTCCCACCAACAATGCAAGAGCTTTCCTTTTTCTCCACATCATGGCCAAAACTATTGTTTCTTGTGTTATTGATTTTAGCCATTCTGACAGGTGTGAGGTGATTGCTCATTGTAGTTTTGGTATGCATTTCCCTGATGATGAGTGATGATGAACCATCTTTTAAATGTGTCTGTTGGCCATCTATATGTCTTCTTTGGAGAAATATCTATTCATGTCTCCTGCCCATTTTTCAATTGGATTATTTGGTTCTTGGGTGTTGAGTTTTATAAGTTCTTTATATATTTTGAATACTAACCCTTTATCAGATATGTCATTTGAAAATATCTTCTCCCATGAAGTGGGTTGCTTTTAGTTTTGTTGATTGTTTCTTTTGCTCCGCAGAAGCTTTTTATTTTGATGTAGTCCCAGTAGTTTATTTTTGCTTTTGTTTCCCTTGCCTCAGTAGACATATCAAGAAGTTGCTATGATCAGTGTCGAAGAGGTTACTGCCTGTGTTCTCTTCTAGGATTTTTGTGGTTTCAGGTCTCACATGTAGGTTTTCAATCCATTTTGAATTTATTTTTATGTATGGAGTAAGAAAGTGGTCCAGTTTCTTTCTTTGCATGTTACTATCCACTTTTCCAACACCATTTGTTAGAAAGACTGTCCTCTTCCCATTGGATGTTCTTTCCTCCTTTGTCCAAGATTAACTGACCACGTAGTTGTGGGTTTATTTCTGAGTTTTATATTCTGTTCCATTGATCTGTGTCTATTTTTGTGCCAATCCCATACTGTGTTGATAACTACAACTTTGTAATATAACTTGAAGTTCAGAATTGTGATTTGCTTTTCTTTTTGTGGTTGCAGGTCTTCAGCTTTGCTTTTCTTTTTCAAGATTGCTTTAGTTATTTGGGTCTTTTGTGGTTCTATACAGATTTTAGGATTGCTTGTTCTAGCTGTGAAAAATGCTGTTGGTATTTTGATAGGGATTGCATTGGATCTGTAGACTGCTTTGGGTAGTATAGACATTTTAGCAATATTTGTTTTTCCAATCCATGAGCATGGAATGTCTTTCCATTTCTTTGTGTCATCTTCAATTTCTTTTATCAGTGTTTGATAGTTTTCAGAGTACAAGTCTTTCATCTCTTTGGATACGTTTATTCCTGGGTATCTTATTATTTTTGGTGCAATTGTAAATGAGACAGATTCCTTAATTTTTCTTTCTGCTACTTCATTATTAGTTTGTAGAAATCAACAGATTTCTGTAGATTGATTATATATCCTGCAACTTTACTGAATTTGTTTATCAGTTCTAGCAGTTTTTTTGATGGAGTCTTTTGGGTTTTTTATATATAGTATCATGACATCTACAAATAGGGAAAGTTTTACTTCTTCCTTACTGATTTTGATGCTTTTTATTTCTTTTTGTTGTCTGATTGCTGTGGCTAGGACTTCCAGTACTATGTTAAATAGAAGTGGTGAGAGTGGATATCCTTGTCTTATTCCTCACCTTAGGGGAAAAGCTCTCATTTTTTCCCCATTAAGGATCATGTTAGCTGTGGGTTTTTCATAGGTGGCCTTTATTATGTTGAAGTATGTTCCCTCTAAACCTACCTTGTTGAGGGTTCTTATCATGAATGGGTGTTGTACTTTGTCGGATGCTTTTTCTGCATCTATTGAAAGGATCATATGGTTCTTATCCTTTCACTTTTTGATGTGATGTATCACATTGATTGATTTGAGAATATTGAACCACACTTGCAACCCAGGAATAAATCCCAGTTGATTGTGGTGAATGATTTCTTTAATGTATTGTTGGCTTTGGTTTGCTAGTATTTTATTGAGTATTTTTGCATCTGTGTTTATAAGAGATATTGGCCTGTAGTTCTCTTTTTTAGTGGTGTCTTTTTCTGGTTTGTTATTAGGGTAATCCTGGCCTCATAGAATGAATTTGGAAGTTTTCCTTCCTTTTCTATTTCTTGGAATAATTTGGGAAGAATAGATACTAACTCTTCTTTAAATGTTTGGTAGAATTCACCTATGAAGCCATCTGGTCCTGGACTTTTGTTTGTTGGGAGTTTTTTGATTACTGATTAAATTTCTTTGCTGGTTATCAGTCTATTCAAATTTTCTATTTCTTCCTGATTCAGTTTTGGTTATGTATAGGTTTCTAGGAATTTATCCATTTCTTCTAGGTTGTCCAATTTGTTGACATATAGTTTTCCATAATATTCTCTTATGATTGTTTGGAGGTTTAAATTTTGTTTTTATTTCCAAAGTAATATGTTTTTTCTTTTCCAAGCAAAGACAAAAATTTTTTTGACTATTGCTCAAATTCCATAAGACATCCTTTTTCCTTTTTTAAAAATTTTTCTCATTGTCCTTTATTCATCAATCCATTTTCCTTTTGAAGGAATAGAAAATTCCAGATCATTTCTTCATTCTTTTGTATGTCACTTTGGAAGAAAACTTGTCAAGGATCAGTGATTCCTTGAAAACCAGGGAAATAAAGCCAGGCACATGTTCTGTTTTCCTTTTTGTTTGAATTGGGCACTAAATGTCTCCACAATGAGAATGATTTTGAAAGCATTTTTTTCTATAATGTCTGCCAATTTTAAATACGTTCTGTATTATATAGTGACAATATCAGAATATATTCAGACAGATACCATAAGGTATCTTTTTTAGGAAAGTAAAACTAATGTTATATTTACTCTCTTTTTTGGAACAGGAGTTATTCCCCCTGACAGATGGATAGTAAATTTTGACAAAGATCTTTTAGATGGCCTTGTTTTTGCAACACAGTTGGGAGCCTATTGTCCGTTTTTGGTAAGAGTCTTTTTTATGAGGCATAATCTTCTATTATTTGAAAGAACTTAGTAATTAAAATTCAAAGTATTTTTTATAAACTGATTTTTTTCAATGTTTTAATTTAAATCACACCTGAATCTGAACGGCCGGCATTCCCTTTTGTTTATTCCGGTATTTTGATTGTAATAAGCTACTCTGACAGATGTTAATACTTAAATGATTCTTTGCCGAACTAAAGAGAAGAGTTAAAAAGCAGTAATTTTTATTCCATTACTAAAAGATTTGATTGTTGTCTTTTCCAGATTGAGTCTCATTTCGAAAAAATGTACACACAACCAAAAAGTTCTGAACAGTATATGCACAATTGCCTGATTATTGTGAATGTACTTCATGAAATTGGCTTTGACATGGACATACAGGTGCGTGACTATATATCACATATTCCATAAATATCAATTTCTTCTTTTCGTATTTTTTCCAGCTTCACCAGGTATGATTGTTAAATACAAATTGTATATATTTAGTTTATAAAATGTAATTTTTGTAGGTATACAGTGTGATGATTGTACATACATAATGTGAATCGATTACCACAGACAAGGTAATTAACACATCCATCACCTCACATAGTTACCATTTTGTGTGTGTGTGTGTGTGTGTGTATGTGTATGCATGGTGAGAACACTTAAGATCCAACATCTCCTCATTTCCCCCATCCCTCTCCATTGGCAACTATCATTCTACTCTCAGATTGCATGGGTTTGACTTTTTTAGATTCTACATACAATTGAAATCATAAAATACTTGCCTTACTGTGTCTGGTTTATTTTACTTAGCATAATGTCCTCTGGATTCTTCCATGTTATCAAAAGTGACAGGATTTCTTTCTTTTTTATGACTAAATATTCCATTGTGAGTATATATCATGTTTTCTTTTTTTAATTTTATTTTATTTAAATTCAATTAGCCAACATATAATACATCATTAGTTTTTGATGTAGTGTTCAGTGATTCCTTAGTTGCGTATAATATCCAATGCTCATCAGATCACGTGCCCTCCTTAATGCCCATCTCCAGTAACCCTATCCCCCCACCCACCTCCCTTTTGCAACCCTCAGCTTGTTTCCCGGAGTCAAGAGACTCTCATGGTCTGTCTCCCTCTCTGATTTCTTCCCATTCAGTTTTCCTTCCCTTCCCCTATGGTCCTCTGCTCTATTCCTTATATTCCAAATATGAGTGAAACCTTATGATAATTGTCTTTCTCTGATTGACTTATTTCACCTAGCATAATACCCTCCAACCATGTCAATGCAAATGATAGGTATTCATCCTTCCTGATGGCTGATTAATATTCCATTGTATATATAAGCCACATCTTCTTTATCCATTTGTCTGTTGAAGGACATCTCAGCTCCGTCACCAGTTTGGATATTGTGGACATTGCTGCTATGAACACAAGGGGTGCAGGTGCCCCTTCTTTTCACTACATCTGTATCTTTGGGGTTAATACCCAGTAGTACAATTGCTGGGTCATAGGGTAGCTCTATTTTTAATGTCTTGAGGAACCCCCATACTGTTTTCCAGAGTGGCTGTACCAGCTTGCATTCCCACCAAGAGTGTAAGAGGGTTCCCCTTTCTCCACATCCTCGTCAACATTTGTTGTTCCCTGTGTTGTTAATATGAGCCATTCTAACTGGTGTGAGGTGGTATCTCATTGTGGTTTTGATTTGTATTTCCCTGATGGCAAGTGATGTGGAGCATTTTTTCATGTGTCTGTTGGCCATTTGTATGTCTTCTTTGGAGAAGTGTCTGTTCATGTCTTCTGCCCATTTCTTGACTGGATTATTTGTTTTTTGGGTGTTGAGTTTGAGAAGTTCTTTATAGATCTTGGATACTAGCCCTTTATCTGTAGTGTCATTTGCAAATATCTTCTCCCATTCCATAGGTTGCCTTTTAGTTTTGTTGACTGTTTCCTTTGTCATGCAGAAGCTTTTTATCTTGATGAAGTCCCAATATTTCATTTTTCCTTTTCTTTCCCTTGCCTTTGGAGACATGTCTTGCCAGAAATTGCTGTGGCTGAGGTCAAAGAGGTTACTAACTGTGTTCTCCTCTAGGATTTTGATGGATTCCTGTCTCACATTTAGGTCTTTCATCCATTTTGAGTTTATCTTTGTGTATGATGTAAGGGAATGGTCCAGTTTCATTCTTTTGCATGTGGCTGTCCAGTTTTCCTAGCACAATTTATTGAAGAGACTGTCTTTTTTCCAATGGATATTCTTCCCTGCTTTATCGAAGATTAGTTGACCATAGAATTGAGGGTCCATTTCTGGGGTCTCTGTTCTGTTCCATTGATCTATGTGTCTGTTTTTGTACCAGTAACATGCTGTCTTGATGATCACAGCTTTGTAATATAGATCAAAGTCAGGCATTATGATGCCCCCAGTTTGGGTTTTCTTTTCCAACATTCCCCTGGTGATTCGGGGTCTTTTCTGGTTCCATACAAATTTTGGGATTGTTTGTTCCAGCTCTGTGAAAAACATCGATGGTATTTTGTTAGGGATTGCACTGAATGTGTAGATTGTTCTGGGCAGCATAGACGTTTTAACAGTGTTTATTCTTCCAATCCATGAACATGGAATATTTTTCCATCTCTTTGTGTCTTCCTCCCAATTTCTTTCATAAGTGGTCTATAGTTTCTAGAGTACAGATCCTTTACCTCTTTAGTTAGGTTTCTTCCTAGGTATCTTACGGTTTTTGGTGCAATTGTAAATGGGAGTGATTCCTTAATTTCTCTTTTTTTCAGTCACATTGTTAGTGTATAAAATGCAACTGATTTCTGTGCATTGATTTCGTATCTTGCCACGTTGCTGAATTGCTGTATGAGTTCTAGCAATTTTGGGGTGGAGTCTTTTGGGTTTTCCACATAAAGTATCATTCATCTGCGAAGAGAGGGAGTTTGACTTCTTCTTTGCCAGTTTGAATGCCTTTTATTTCTTTTTGTTGTCTGATTGCTGAGGCTAGGACTTCTAGTACTATGTTGAACCTAGTGGTGAGAGTGGGCATCCCTGTCGTGTTCCTGACCTTAAGGGACAAGCTCTTAGTTTTTCCACATTGAGAATGATATTCGCTGTATGCCACGTTTTCTTTATGCATTCCTACATCGACAGACAGGTTTTTCCATATGTTTGATATTGTGAATAATGCTGCAGTTGAACATGGAAGTGCAAATATCTCTGAGATGCTGGTTTCATTTCCTTTGGATATATACCCAGAAGTAGGGACGCTGGACCATATGGTAGTTCTGTGTTTAATTTTTTAGAGGTCCCTCATACTGTTTTCCATTATGGCTATAACAAGGCACATTTCCACCAACAAAACACATACAAAAATTCCCCTTTCTCTACATCCTTGCCAACACTTTCTCTCTCCTCTATTTAATAATAGTTATCTCTCCTCTCTTCAATATAACAAGGCACATTTCCACCAACAACATACAAAAATTCCCCTTTCTCTACATCCTTGCCCCACTTTATCTCTATTCTTTTTAATAATAGGTGTGAGGTAATATCTCATTGTGGTTTTGATTTACATTTCCCTCATGGTTAGTGATGTTGAACACCTTTTCATGTACCTGTTGGCCAATTGTATGTCTTCTTTGTGAAAATGTTAGTTGACTCCTTTTAATAATCTTTTGTTCATATATTTTAAATCTAAATTGAAACCATCTTTTTGTAGGGTATTGCTAAAATGTGGAATTTGAAATATGACTTCATAGAAATTGACTGTATATTTCTACGTATGTATAATTATGTATATCCAGCTGTGCATAAGAAAATAGTTCTAGTGATTTGTCCATTTTTCTTAAACCCAAGAATGAAGCTTGAGTGATTTACTAGCACTACCCAAGCTCTAAGAATGAATTAAAGGAGCAGATTTATTTGAATATAGATGTATTATCATTAGCTAAAAAGACGTTTTTTCACTTTTGTTTTAAAATACATATTCATGTAGAGATCAGAATGGCAATATACATTATTACATTTGGATCCCCATGTTATAATTCCATCTGGCCTTTCACATCAAGTCCTCAATAATAACCAAATACTATTATATAATATATATCTAACTATTATATAGCAATAATCAAACACATTATATGCTTACTATTTTTTGAGCCCTTTGTTAGAATAATGAAGTAGTATAATACATGATTTCTTGGGGTGCCTGGATGGTGCAGTTGGTTGAGAGTCCCACTTGTTTTCAGCTCAGGTCGTGATCCCTGTGGTGAGATCGAGCCCCGCACTGAGCTTTGCACTCAGCATGGAGTCTGCTTAAGTTTCTTTCTGCCTCCTCCTTTGTCCTTCCCTGCCCCCCACCCCACTCATGGTCACTCTCTCTCTCTCTCTCAAATAAATAATCTTTAAAAAAAAATGATTTCTTACTTTGAAGAATATACAAAATCATTGAATTATCAAGATATATTCATGTTCAATGATAAATAACATTCTACTCATGTAATTGTCAGTGTATGTAAAAAACAAAGTATAGAATTCAGATAAGGGAAGAGATCAATATGATCTAGATTGATCCACCAAAGACTTTGCAGAGAAGGCAGGACTTATTTGGAGTCTTGAAGGGTGGATTGGATTTGGACTGGTAGTGGTAAGAGAGGAAAGTGTTCACTCAGAGGAAATGGCATAAACAGAATGTCAAATGGAATACATGACATACAGTAAGGAAATTCTGTGAATAGGTTACCTTAGTTGAATTTTGGGATTAGAAAAATTGATATAGGTATATATTGGGATATTGGATATCAGTATAAAAAGTAAGAAGCTTACCATCTGGGTATTATGGGACTAAAGGTATTTGGTGTTTTTTTTTTTTTTTTTTTTTTTATAGCAACTACACAAAAGGTATTTGTTCTTACAACTATGATGGGAATGGACTCACAGGAGAGGGACTGGAGACAGGGAACACAGACCAATCAAAATATAATTTCAGTTGGTCAAGGAAGAAAGTATTTTCTCTACTCATGTCATCTTCGACTTCTCTTTTTCCATAAGATAAACCTTTTCCAATGTTTCACAGCATATTTCCCATTACATGTCATTGACCATAATTACATTCCATGCTTGTAGATAAACCATTGTTCGATAAAAGTAATGAAACAGCCACAAAAATTGGGATTCTTAGGGAAGAAGAAAGAGGAAAATTGCTTTGGGGAAGGTAATCAACAGTGTTCTCTGTAGAATTACAGAATGTCAGCTGGTACTGCTCATTATGTTTGGTGTCCAATATGAAAGCTGGTGATATCTTTTAGTCATAGCAAATTAAATCCTCCACGAAAGTCGATATTATCTCACCTCTTCTTGTTACTGATGAAAAAACTGAGGCCTTGGAAAACCAATTGATTTAGTAAAGATCGTAGTACTGTGTAGTAGCAGGACTTGAATTTGGTTTACCAGATTTCTACTCTAGCATTTTTCTCTATTATGACCTTTTTCTGTTTAATTTTTTGTCTTTTATTAGGCTAGTTGAAAAATACTATCATTGTGGGGGGGAAATGGACCAATACAGTTGAAGTTCTTCTAGGTTAGACCTGTATAGAGAAAGTAATGATTATATCTTTGAAAGAAAATTCACATGAAAGTCTTGTTTTAAACAAACTTAACTTAAAATAATAATAATAATAAAAAGAAACAAACCTATGTTAACATTTGGATTTTTACGCCAAGGACTGATAAAAGTGTAATTGCTTTTGGTTATCTTCATTGAAATTTATGATAAGGAAAGGTAAGGATGCTCTTTTCTCTGTTTTTTTTTTTTTTTAAGTCAAATATCTTAATCAAATACATTTTTCCCATTAAGATAAACATATTTTTTTAATTTCCAAATTATTGCATTTTCATCCCATTATGTATTTTTCAAAGATGAGTATTGGGGCTAATTCTATATTGTTACCTATATATTTTATGCTGTAGTCACTTAAAAAGTGTTCACAAGTCTCTTATTTAACTCAGACTTGAGCCTAGGGTGTTCTGCCACTAGTCTTACCCTTTCCCAACAAACACATTTCCCATTACCTTAGACAGTTTTCTTTAAAAAAAAAAAGGAAAAAGAAAAAGATTTATTTATTTATTTGAGAGATAGAGAGTGCGCTTGCACCCACACGTATGGAGGTGGGGAGGGGTAGAGGGAGAAGGAGAAAGAGAATCTCCAGCAGACTCCCCGCTGAGTGTGGAACCCAACCCTGAGATCATGACCTAAGCCAAAATCAAGAGGCAGACACTTAAGTGACAGCCACCCACGCGCCCCACAGCCCCCTTTGAATCACACTCATAGGCAAGCCCATCCCAGATGGCCCAGTAGAGCCATATTCTTCACTTTGTTGGAATTAAACTCTGCATTTATTTTTTTAGTTTGTTCTTTTTTTTTTTTTTTTAAAGATTTTATTTATTTATTTGACAGAGAGAGACACAGCGAGAGAGGGAACACAAGCAGGGGGAGTGGGAGAGGGAGAAGCAGGCTCCCTGCAGAGCAGGGAGCCCGATGTGGGACTCTATCCCAGGACCCTGGGATCATGACCTGAGCCGAAGGCAGTCGCTCAACCGACTGAGCCACCCAGGCGCCCTTTTAGTTTGTTCTTATCTTAAATAATTTTCCTTCATGTGTTGACTAACACTGTCTTTCACGTAGAAATGTACGACCACAGAATACTGATGAGAAACTTTGGAGTCTTGGTGTATTTCTCAGTTTTCCTCAAATCGAACTCACTAGCAGCTTTCTACCCTGCTGAGGAAGGCCAGCTCCCTTATTTTTTACTAAAAATCTCCTCCCCAGTCACCCTTATTGGTTAGTCTTACTGCTTATTGACAAAACAAGAAAGAACAAACTCTTCTCTTCTTCCAAAGAATGTATTTGGGAATGTGAACTAGCAGATGATCAGAGGAGCTGTTTTTATTTGCTGGTAACTGTTGCTGAACTTCAGAGTCAAGTGTGTTAGCTCCACATAATGCATTAGGTCTCCTTGGCTCCCACACTATTTGCACTTCCAAGCCAGGCCTGGATCGTTTTTGGTTACTAACTTGAATGTGAGCTATTAAGTCATAGGTAAATCTTCATTTTATGGAAGTGTAAAGGGCTCCCTGTACATCGACAATGACAGAGGTGTGTATCTATCAGTGGTGTTTTATGTCTTTGAATCCTTGCCTTGGACCATTCTCAATACTCCTTTGCTATGAATAATTCTCCCCTACTGCCTTCACATTTTTCTAGGACATCATAGGTAGTATAGGAACTGATACAAAGAATCCTTCCTCCTTCTCCTGACTCTACTTGTTGTATTCAATGTACATTCAGGCTATGTTGATTGTCCCTGCCATTATTCCTTTGCAATTCTGGCTTTTATCTCAAATCTTTTCCAACAACCATTCACTAATTTATCTTGGTTATCAGTATGATTACATTTTCTGACTTACTATATTTTGTCTGTTCTGGGAAAAGTACTCCCTAACCACCCCCCTGCCTGATCTGCCTGAATTGTTGCTCTTGTGTTATTCCTTGTTCAGAAATCAGGGCCCTCATCCTGGCATCCACACCCTCCACAGTGTGGCCCTGGCGCTCCTTTGTCTGTTCCCACAGTGCTTGTCCCTTCTTACCTTACATATGATTCAAATTGTACTTCTTTAACAAATAAACACTGTACCTCCCTATATCCTTTTGCTGTAGTTCTTTGCCTTTCTGATGGAATACACCCTTTTCTGCTCCCCAAACACAGTCTCTTTGAGATCCGAGCATTCTTCAAAGCTGTCTCATGTGTTGCCTTCTCCCTTGAGCTTTTGCTTGAAATTCTTGCCTTCTTTTTACCTCAGTAGTTTGTTTACTTCTCTGTTTTCTTTTACTGCTGATTATGGGACTATAAATCAGGGCTGGTGTCTTAGTGACGTTAGGCAGTATTTCTAGTGCATAATATTTTTATGACCTCTGACTAGCTTTTGTGGAGGCTTTGAGGCTGTGAAGTCACTGTTATACTGAGAACACATCTAATTCATCTTTTAACACCCAGGTCAAGCTCTTCTGATTCACAGCAACATTCTGTTTACTGTGTTTACAACTCAGTGTCAATGCCAGTAACATTTTAATATGTTTTAATGTAATTCAACAATTGATGTACTATGCTTTAGCTCTTTTTATATATTTTACCTGTATATCCTCTAATTTATATTTCTTTTCATTGAAACTAGGCCACGGATATCTGTGATCCTAATCCAATCCTGATGCTCATGCTTTGTGTCTACATGTATGAAAGGCTCCCTACATATCTCCCCAAGAAGGTGGTGCCCTTTCATTGTACTCTACATGACACTGTGCTGAGACAGGTAAGGATGTATTTGGAGTGAAACACTTCACAGGGGTTTTAGTTATTTCTTTTCTAACCCAAAATTAACAGAAGTATCAATATGATGTATTAAGCCTTAGCTATTTATAGCAGCAATGTCCACAATAGCGAAACTATGGAAAGAGCCAAGATGTCCATCGACAGATGAACAGATAAAGAAGATGTGGTATATATATATATGTATACACATTCATACAATGGAATACTACTCAGCCATCAAAAAAAAATGAAATCTTGCCATTTGCAATGATGTGGATGGAGCTAGAGGGTATTATGCTAAGTGAAATAAGTCAGTTAGAGAAAGACAATTATCATATGATCTCACTCATATGTGGAATTTAAGAAACAAAACAGAAGATCATAGGGGAAGAGAGGGAAAAATAAAATAAGACAAAATCAGAGAGGGAGACAAACCATAAGAGACTCTTAATCATAGAAAGCAAACTGAGGGTTGCTTCAGGGGAGGGGATAGAGGTGGGGGGGATGACTCGTTCATGGACATTAAGGAAGGCATGTGATGTAATGGGCACTGGGTATTATATAAGACTGATGAATCCCTGACCTCTACCTCTGAAACTAATAATACATTATATGTTAATTAATTTAATTTAAATGAAAAAAACACAAAAAAGGAAGGGGGTTGGCAGAAAATGAATGATGTTTTGATACTTCATTTTAGCACCCATAAAAATGTTTGCCATCTTGGGGCACCCGACTGGCTTAGTCGGAAGAGCATGTGACTCTTGATCTCAGGGTCGTGAGTTCAAGCCCCACCTTGGGTGTAGAGATTACTAAAAAATAAATAAACTTAAAAAAAATAAGCCTTAGCAAATATTGCTTCTTCTAAAGAAGAAGGCTTAACAGAGTGAAAGGGACAATTTTTGCTTAATAGTAACCATCATCTGCAATGAAATGATGATTCCTTGATTCATTTGATGAATGGGGTTTGGGGTGGTGGAAAATGAAAGTTAGGCACTTTGGAGGGCAAATTTTCTGAGGACACTTGAGACCCATTTCATGTGCAAAGGGACTGAGACCGTAAGTGCAAACTTGTGTTCTGAATATACTCAGCTTTCCTTAAGGGAGTGGTTTACCCATCCAGATGGATTTTATTCAGACGAGGATATAGAAAGGGAAATAAAAATGAAAGTGTTCCTGACCAGGGCCACCTAATTCCCACTAACGGATATTATATAACCAAGAGCTGCTAAATGTGTAATGGTGGATTTTTTAATTTGCAGAAAAAAATCAAAAATGAAATTTGGAATCCTGTGACAATAACAAATCTGTATAAATGTCCATATTTGTGAAGTGTTCTCTTTGAGAAATATATTGTCAAGGGTCATTGACCTCAATTTGTTTTTCAAGCTTACACTTGTGAAGTATCTTCTAGCATACAGTTTTAAATTGCTTATATTTATTTAAGATTGTTCCTTCTACCAGTTTTCATAAAATCTTCAACCAGATTTATAGGTTTCTCCTTATTTCTTTCTGAGGACACTGTGGGCTGGTAGAATCTTATTTCCTGCAAAAATTACTTTATCTCTTTGGTTAGATCATGTTTATTCCTTTTCTTCAGGCTGTTTTATGTATTCCTCCTCATACTTATTTGGGAGGGTGTAATTTTATACATTCGATGCAGAACTTGTCCATATTTGCTCTTCAGAAGATATGTCTTGGTGATTTTTGACTTGTAATTGTAACCTCTGAGAAAATATATAGCCTTTGTGATGATATGAATGATGGTTGGTAAGGATTCAGTTAAAAATCGGGGAAAACACAGGTTCTTGTCTCAACATGTAAAGGGCTCAGTTTAGGGTAAGGAAAGCGTCTCCTGAATTTTTTGTTAGCATACATTGAGATATGATTCCTTTTTATGAATTTTTTTCTTTTAATCAGGAAAAAAAGATATAAAACTCTTTAGAAGATTTTTTTCAACAGTATTTACTCTGATAATTCCCTAACTGCAATGATCCTCAAAGCCTGGAGCTGTAATTATATTGGAGAGGTTTTTTGACTTCAAAATAAAATTTCTAAAGAGTTAGAAATGTTTTGATTAAGCCTGCAGAGTCTAGGATGAGTCTGAATTAGATTAAGCAGTGATTTATTACAGTTAGTTTTAATTCCAGTTCTCTAATTCTGTCCATGTGTTTGTATTTTATGCCATTTAATTGCCACTATTTTTTAAAAGTAATTAACAACACTAATATTTAAATATAAATTTTAATTGTGGTGTTAAAATCAAAACATATTAAAATGGACATAGTTCTTTCCACATTTAGCTCTTTACTAGAAATAATGTTCGTATTTTAAGATTATAGATGAGGGGTGCCTACCTGGCTCAGTAGGTAGAACATCTGACTCTTTATCTTTGGGTCTTGAGTTCAAGCCCCACGTAGGGCATTGAGCCTACTAAGAAAGATTAAAAAGGGGAAAAAAAGATTATAGATGAAATTATACAGATATAACTTTGATTTTTCACAAATGTAGAGTATGTCTTTTGACAGTAACAAAAATTATATTTAAATGCAAGAAAATGTCAGTTATAATAAGCTTTAGTTTTAAATTTCATTTAAGAAAAATCACTGATTTGGAAATTGCTGAGAACATTTGGCATAGTTTGCCCCTATGCATCAACACTATAAATGACAGTGCTTAAGTCATTGAATATCATTTTTACCAACATTTTCATCACTCTAGAATAAAAAAGAATCTCAAGAAATGGCTACTAGAATTGAAAAAGTATTTGTGCAACTATATGTCAGTAACAGAGACATAGAATCCTGGAACCAGTAAAAAATAGAGTGATCATTAAAAAAAAATAGTGTGTGTGATTTCCAAGACATTTTTTTTCTGAGACATTTTTAAATGCAGTTGAACTTTTCTTCTCTCTTTTTGAAGCAGAATTTACACAGAAGCACAGTAGTTAAAGATAACTATTAAATAGTGAAAGATAAGCTATCTTGCAAAAGGTGCAAAAGGGGAATTGAGGCTCCTTGAACAGATTTCCTTTGTCCCCATTTACCACTTACCACCCCAATGTGAAATCCTGGGTGGAATAATCTGACCACAGGTGAGCCCAGTGCCTTTGTGTCATATATAGGATATGACATAATGAGAATGAGTAGCTTCCTTGAGATCTCGGGGCTGGTTAGGGATGTTCCAGGACTAAAAATCAGTAGCAGCTCACAGGGAATCCTCATGATTTTTCTACAATTCCTTTCAGAAAACAGAAGTTAGTTCTCTGGAACTTAAAATTACTTGGTCTATTCATTAATACTTCAAATTCATATGTACATACATAAAAATAAAAAAAATAGGGGCACCTGGGTGGCTCAGTCATTAAGCGTCTGCCTTCGGCTCAGGTCATGATCCTGGAGTCCTGGGATCGAGCCCTCCATCAGGCTCCCTGCTCCGCGGGAAGCCTGCTTCTCCCTCTCCCACTCCCCCTGCTTGTGTTCCCTCTCTCGCTGTGTCTCTCTCTGTCAAATAAATAAATAAAATCTTTAAAAAAATAAAAAATAACACACTGGGTTTGTCTTGGCCCCATTATAACTGATATTATACATAGGTAAGTAACATGAGAACCCCAGTTCCTTGGTGTAACCAAAGATAGAAGAAACTCTTCAGCAATAGTGTACTTCTCCTGGTAGTTAACAAAAATTCTCATCGAAACATAAAACTAGTTAATTTTTTATTTATTTTTTTAAGATTTTTTTAAATTTTATTTTAGAGAGAGGCAGAGAGAGAGAGAGAGAGAGAGAGAGAGAGACAGAGCTGGGGGAGGGTGGGATGGACAGGGAGAGGCAGAGAATCTCAAGCACACTCCATGCTGAGTGTGGAGCCTGAAGCAGGGCTTAATCTCACAATCCTAAGATTACAACCTGAGCCAAAACCAAGAGTTGGACACTTAATTGACTGAGCCACCCAGGTGCCCCTAGTTAATTTAATCTTTAACAAATCTACCATATTCTGTACAAGTCACCATAATCACTGTAAGTCACTATAAGTCACTCTAATCACACATGGTGCTAATTGTTAATTCTTCAGAAATCTGTGACTATACTTCCTGGGCTGCATAAGTTGTACTCACCTTGTTGTCACTCTAATTTGGCCAGTCATGCATTTCCCCCAGGTCATCTTTCTCCTCTGAGTCAGTATTTTCCATGATAATCTGGAGTCTTCCCAGTGTGTCTGTTTTTTGGGGTGGTTTTTTTTTTTTTGAATCCATATTATATTCTATATATACCCTTGGATATTCACAGTTTTCATGAAATATTCTCTCTAAAAATGAAGTAACTTGTCTTCACATACCCTCCCTATCTTGGCATCAGGAAGGAAGGGACAGCCAGCCCCTTGTTAGACTACTGCTTCGAGTCAAGGCCACTGTCATTTTCAGCCTGGGCCTCTGTTCTTAAAAGTACACTCCTTATAAATCTTTCTACACTGAGCAGCCTGAGTATCCTTTTTGTAAATTGGATTATATAAATTCTCTGTTTAAAATTCTCCAAAGATTTCTCTTTGCAGTAAGAATAAAATCCAAGTTGCTAACTTTGGATTTTAAATCTTTGATAATCAGGTGTTTTTACCTCTGTCATTTCCTTGCTTGAAAGCTTGAAAACTCCTTCTCCTTGCTTATTCTGCTAAACTATATATTTATGTTATCTTTAAATACAAAGTCTGCTTTCCTCCAGTTAGTGCACATTAGGAATATTTTCATGATTAAAATGTATAACTTGCTTTGATGAAAATAAGTGCTAAATTATATATTTTTAAAATTCATGATCTTATGTATACTCTCTTCTTCAATATAGATTCTACTGAAAAATCCAAGCTTGAAAAACTTAGTGTATAATGCTATAATTGTTGGAAAAGATGCCTCTGACTTCTCCCTTTCCCAAACAGGGAACATTGTGACAATATCTCCGAAGTAAGTGTTTTTTTCTTTTAAATTTTATTTCACTGAAAATATCAACCCTAGATATTTAGTGTGTATTATAATTATAAAAGCATGGCCTGGATTTGTTTTTAACTGGTATACATATAATGAAAAGATCATCACTCAGACATAGATAAATTATGTATATGTTGCTGAGATTCCTCACCAATTTTGTTAAAATAATTCTAACAACATAAAACAGTTGCTTATTATGTATGCTTTTAATTTTAGTTTATTTTGCATGCATATGGGCCATAGAGATTAGACTATAAGTTTTTTGTTTATGTACTGTAGTTCGGTTTCCCTTAGGAAACTCAAACCAGTGTGTAGATTTTATATAGGTTATATATATCATATATATATAATGTTATTATATGTCATTCTGTTTATATGATATATAGTTGTTTCTGAGCAATGTGCTCATTGTAGAAAATTTAGAAACTATAAAAGTATAAAGAACAAAAAAAATGAAAGACTGATAATCTTACCTTAAAGATACCCTCAGTGTTGCCGTTTTTCTGTATCCCTTCACTGTCATTGTGTTTATATGTGTGGATAGATGCATAGATAGATAAATATAAGCATATATATATATATATATATGCTCCTAAATTATAGTGATTTTCTTTAAAGTTTCATTTCTATATGATTCTGTTCTCATGATGCTTTTCTTTAATGTTTCTACTACTGTCCTACTTTCAAAAATAAAGTACAAATGAAACCCCCAGAAATTAGTCTCGAGAAATTAAACATGAGCATAATATATGACTCTTTCCAGATCAACAAATCCTATTAGATATGTCACTGGTTTTAACGATGGCAAATATTCTTATTACAAAATACAAGGATGATAAGAGGACAGCTATGTTAATATCACAGGGGTTCACAAATTTAATAACCACTAATTGACTTCAGCCAGCTTAAATTTTAGTCATTGCCTTTGCATTCAATTGTTTTTTCCCAGTGCCAAGTGACAGATTATAACTACTAAAGTTACTTCACCTGGTTATCTTTTTAGTTTTTAACTAGACATTAACTTGAGTTGCTCTTCACATTGTAATTATTATTACTTCTAGCATATCAAATGCAGAAATAATTGGAAATCAGGGCCATTTTAATTGCATTTAAAATACCAAGAAACCCAGTTGTAACAGTGCCCTTGGTTTGTGTCATTAGCCTGTGTTTGTTTTCTTCAGTTACTTCTTCATGCTAAGGAGTATATAATTTATAAATTCTGAATATTCGTGGTTGGTACTACATCCAGATTGAACTGAGTGTGAGGAAAACAATTCTCCATTCTCCTGTTTCTATATTATAAGTTAAATGATTAGAATAAAAATCTTTGTAAAAACAACCCACCCATTTTCTAAGTTATACTTATTACATGTCTGTTATAAAACACAACTTTAGTAATACACGTTCATTTGAACATTGTCACAGTCCCATTTTTCTTCCCACAGGACTCTGATAATTGAGATCTGTTCTCTGCCTTTCAAATAGGTTGATACAAGTGAAAAGCACTTACGTTTCTCTCTGCTTTTTTTTACTCATAAACCCAATAACCTCTTCCAGTATTTCAGAGCTCTCATTAAGTGGAAATATTTCCTAACAATCACACTAAGCCTCTGATATTTTAGCTTAATATCACATTTCAGTTAACAAAATTAACATTTATAGTCTTTATTATAAATGTAAAACCTGTACATCGTTATAAGTTTGTTACAGAAAAGTATAAAGAAGAAACAGAATCACCTAGAACCCCATCAGATAAGCACAGTTAATTCATCAGTTCATTTCCTTTTAGTCTTTTTATATGCACAAGTATGTTTATTATAGCATATGGCTAGTTAAATATTTACAAAATAAATGCATTATATGTAAATATTAAAACAATGCTTATTAAATATTTGCTACGTACAAAATCTATATAACATGCACTTTGTGTACCTTTTCATATTTAATCATCCTAACAGCCATATTAGTGTCCTCATTTTCCAAAAGAAGACACTGAGCAGAGACCTTAAATCATTTGCCCAATTTTCCCTGCTATTAAGTGGTTAAGCGGTGATTCAAAACCAGCCAATCTAAATCCATTGTTGTCACTTTTATTCAGTTGACACCTGTACATATTGTGTGTTTGTGTGTGTGTGTGTGTGTGTGTATCACATGCATACAAAGCCCTTGGCATTCAATAAAATGTGGCTTTGACTATTTGTAAGCAATCGTGAAGATTCATGACATGTAATTGTATCATTTTTTGCTTCTCCAGGAGCTGGTTTGTGAGAATATTTCACTTGGGTACTTGTGAACAGTACTTCCTATTAACTTCTCAGCGGTGTGCCTATTTTACTCTTTATACACCATTGCACCACTTATAGTCTATATAAATATAGACATATTTATAAATATTAGCTTCTTGAGGTTTTGATACATATCATGTGAACATTAATCGACCATATATTCATGTATACCTACTCACACATGTAATCATGAGTACATATATTCATATTTTGACCATATTACACATATACCTATATTCTTGTTTTCAACTTATCTTTTTTTAATCAAAATTTAACTTATTCATGCTTAACAAGTCCAAATATGCAGAGGAGTTTAAAATGAAAAGCAAGTCCCTCTCCCCTCAAATCTGTCTCTAGAAATCCATTTCTTGAGCCACCTACTTTTCACTCCCTCATTTATGTCTCATTTTAGTTCTTCCAGTGGTTACCTCCAAAATCAAAGTAATCTATATTATCTTTGCCACTATTTTGGTTATACCAACTTCAGAAATAATTTGTTGATATATAGCTATAATATTTAATGATCTAGTTTACATCTCCAGATTTATTGCCCTCCCTCCAAACATCACCAGTTTTATCTTCTACTTAGTACTTTTCCAAGAGTGACAATCTATTTTATAAATGTTTCTTACACCATCAGTATAAAAAGTATCTTTTGACTCGTTTTTTAAATTGAGAAAATCAATAAATTGAGATCACTAAAGAAGTGCATATAGTCCTTGATGTCTCTTTCCTTCAAGTATACCATTTCTAGAGCACTTTACCTTTTCCTCCAAATTGGACTGATTGCTTTCCAGACCGACTGAAGAGATGTCAATAGTGCACATTTTTTTTAAGATATTATTTATTCATTTGAGAGAGAGAGAGAGATAGCATGAGTTGGGGGAAAAGCAGAGGGAAAGAAAAGCAGACTCCCTGCTGATCAGGGAGTCCAATGTGCCACTCGATCCCAGAACCCCGGGATTATGACCTGAGCTGAAAGCAGACGCTTAACCCCCTGAGCCACCCAGGTACCCCAGTATTGGACATTTTTTATTTCTCTTTGGATAGAAACTGTTATCTCTCTCTTTCTTAATCTACTTACTTATTTACTTAAAAATCCTTATGAAACATAATAAAAAATATGAGAGGTAAATTTTCCAAGATTTTTCATTTTTAAGCATGTCTTTTTACTACCCTTACCCTTGATTTATATTTTGCTTGGTTTATTATGCTAAGTTGAAAAGATTTTTCCTCATAACTCTTAAGGTAATTGTTACCCTGCCTCATAGTATTCAGTATTTGTGATGAGAAAGTCTACTATAATTCTGTTTTCCAACACCTCTAGAAGATTTTAGGATCTTCCATTGTGTTCTGATACTGTTCCAGAATGCATCAAGGAGGGTGTTTTTTTATTCACCATTTGGGTACACAGTGATTCCTTTAACTATGAAGTTGTTTTTCATAAGCCCTGGCAAATTAAATTATTTCTTTCATAATTCTCTCCCATCTATTTTCTCATTTCTCATTTTCCAACCTGTAGTTGTTGGATATTGAACCTGTTCATTGTATCCTATATTATCACTAGTATTTTTTTATCTTTGATTTTTCTTCTTTTTATCAACAAGCCTTCTTTTCCAAGTGTTTCCTTTAGGGGAGAGGGGCAAAGAGAGGGAGAGAAAATGAGAATCTCATATATACATATATATATGTTAAGAATACTTTCATTTTTATTGAGTATCTCTTTCATAGCATCCTGTTCTTAAATTGGGGTTATCTTCATAAATGTCTCTGATTTTTTATGTATTCAACTCTTACCTAAATATTTTTATTTTCTTTTAGGTCAATTGTTAATGTTTATTTTGTTTTCAGTGTTTCATGTTTAAGGATTTACTCTAATGCCTTGTGGTACTTGTTTAGCCATTCATCGGTAATAATATGGCAATAGAAAATATATTGTTGTTCTGTGTATACACACAAACTTTTACCTTAGGGTGAAAAACATTCTGCTTTTAGGCCCAATTGCCCAGCATACTGCACTGGCCTTGAGGACAGTGAAATTGTCTGAACCCTGTCTTGCCCTCCATGCAGGTGGGCATTTCTAGAAATGGCCTCTCCTGGAGTCTCCAGGCCAGCTTTGTTTCCTTCATTAACCTCTGTTCAGATGCTCATTGATAGCTTCTTCCAACAATCAGCTTTTAAAAAAATCTCTTTCTTATCAGTTTAATGAGATTTCTCTTAGGTGATAAATCTGGGCTTCAGATGCCATTGTCTAGAACCCTACTGTCATGTCATTTAACAATTAAATGCTGGGCTTTGATGTTGCCATGTACTGCTCTAGGATCCAGCCTCATTTTTCTTATTCAGAAAATGAGGATTGGGCACCTGGGTGGCTCAGTTGGTTAAGCTTCCGACTCTTGGTTTTGGCTCAGGTCATGATCTCAGGGTCATGAGATCGAGGCCTATGTCAATCTCCCTGCTCAGCGTGGAGTCTACTTGTCCCTCACTCTCTCCCTGCTCCTCCTCCTCTCTTTCTTTCTCTCTCATAAATAAAAAAAAAAGTAAAACGAGGATTGGAATATTTACCCAAAGTTTTGTCAGTAATAAATGTAATTAAATAGGCAAAACACCTAGTACTGTAACTAGAACACAGAGGAAGCAATAAGTATTTGTCCCCTTCCCCCATCCCAGTTCGAAGTGCTGGTTATTCATAGATGAAAATATATTAACACTACTCACAAGTGTTTGCAGTCTAGCAGAGTGTCCTACAAGCAAATTCACAATGAGGATATAACTTGATAACTGTTTTATTTGTATTGTGTGTATAGAACTAGAGAAAAATGGAAAAAAAGCACTTAAGTATTCTTGGGGTAACCATGGACGTGTTTCCAGAAGAGATAATGTTTAATTCTTAGTATATATGGAAAACAATTATTTCCTTTTCTAGATGTATTTTATTTTGTAGGCTTGAATACTATTATTTGATGGTTCTTTAAGCATCTTTTTAGCTAGACTAAGTAATTTCATATTTTTGTTTTTACAAATAGGGTTCAGAAAATATTTTGTTTTCTTTAAAAAATGACAGCATTATCATTATCAGATATTATATAATTATCTATGTGTACCACATCCTTAGAGTCTGTCTAAATCATGATTAATAATGGCTCTTTCTGACAGCTGTGGATTTAAATTCCAAGCCATATCATTTATATAGAAAAGATTAAACAAGTACATCAACATATAAACAAACGTTTACTTTTGCATCTAATTTGATGACTAAATTTAGCTATAACCATAGAGTTACTACATAAAAGTAAAAGTATACTTTTGGAAGAACATTCTGTTTCTTTTTCTCCTCATTAGTCTCATTGAGCCATATGGGCACTGACATTGACTAATATGTTATAAATTATTTTCCATCTTTTCCAAAAGCTGAGTTGAAGTGCCTTACAAGAGACATGTAATATCATGATATTTTTTAATGAGAGGGAGGCAATTGAAACAAAAAGAAAATAAAATAAAAGGAAGAAAATTAAGATGATGCCTCTAATTATACACATTTTTAGAGACCTAGGACACTTACCTAAGTGGACCACCCATTTGATTCTGAACTTCTTAATACATTCAGGAAGGGATCCTTGTCATTTACATGCCTCAATATGACTACAAAATTTCAAAAGGAACAACTATATTCAAGAGAGGCTCAAATCTTCATGGTCCTTAAACCAGCCATTGATCTCATAAAAAGGATATTTTATTTAAAATATGTTTCATAGGATTTAAGTATAGGTCCATAAATTCATTTATTAAGTGCATGTTATTTAGATTGTGGTCATCCTCATACACCTTTTTAAAATCAGCTTCCATGGAGAGCCAATCTCCAAGCAAGTCCTATTGATTTTACCAAATATATCTTAAATTTGACATCTTTCTTCCTATCACCTACTCCACATTAAGTTTAATGTACCATCATCTTTAAACTAAGTGTAGTTTAAATAGACTACTAAAAGATTTCTCTGCAATCCATCCTCTATCTTAGAATGGTAACAATTTTTTAAATGTAAATTTGCTTACATCACTCCTCTGCTTAAAATATTCCCATAGCTTCCCATTACCATTAAGATATAGGATGATTATCTCAACATGTGGCCTTTCATAGCTGGCTCTTGGATATATCTGTATCACTAACACTCTTGCTCTCTAAACTTCAGTACCACTGGCCTTTGGTAAGTTCTTCAAACACTTAATTCCTCCTACCAGAGACCTTGGATACTTCTTTCCTCCCCTGCTCATTCTGGCTAACTCGTTCTTGTCCTTTATATCCCACCTAGCACATCCCTTCCTCTGACCCTTCAGACTATACCACACTCTCTGTTACATGCTCTCATACCACTTCCTAGCACATACATAATTCGTAATTTTCAAATTTATTTTGTGATGACAAAATTAACATCTGGCCTGCCCTATAGAATGTAAGATCCAGGAGATCAGGAATACTGTGGGTTTCTTTCTAATTACTATATCCCAAAATCTAAAACAGTGCCTGGGACATTATAAATTCTCTCAAAATTGAATGAATGAATGAATGAATGAATGAATGAATGACTTGATCTAATGATGAATTTTAGAATATCTAGAAAAATCCTAAGTCACTCACAGGTATCCTAACACAGAGTTTGAGCCTATATACCCTGAAAAAGATCTCAAGGTCAAATATTCTTTGTTCTTAATTAAAGTCATGAGCTTTTATAATGACCAACAAAATATCCCTTTGCACAGATTGAGGAGATTTGTGATGGCATATCTGAGTAAAAACCATCCCCACTCCTGCTACGTATGAGTTGTAATTTTCCCTAAAAAGCAGTTTTGAGAGTATTTCTATTGATTTTGAAAGTCCTTAATTCACTTTACTTTTTGCTGCTCCATAGACTTACCCATTCATCATTAATTCCACAAGGATTTGGGGGAAGTTAATTCAAAGTTGGACACTGAGAGAATCTATTCCAATCTCCATTTCCACATATGGGCATCCTAGGAGAAGGCAGTAGGTGATAGTTTGCACAAAGGACTAACTGTGATAACTATGCTAAAAGCCAGAGCAAAAGCAAAGGTAAAATTTCCCCGAGATTTTTTACCCACAGCTGTGTCAAGGCAAGGCAAGTCTGAAAGATTTAGCCAGTTAAGAAACACTGAGCCCATTTTTTTTTTAATTCGAGGACTTCATTACTTAATAAACAGTGAAAACAGAAGTTATCAAAAGGGCCAGATCCCCATGTCCCTTGTGCAGGTTAATACCACAACAAAAGGGCTTTTGTTGATGAATGCATCATGCCTGGTAGGACACCCTGTTGTTGACAGCCAATTTCATGCTACAACTAAGCAGTTTTATAGCCTGTAACTCTCCCCTGAAGGGGGCTAGGTAGTAACCCTCCTACTGCTTCAGAATGTAGGAGGCAGGGGCGCCTGGGTGGCTCAGTCGTTAAGCATCTGCCTTCGGCTCACGTCATGATCCCAGCGTCCTGGAATCGAGCCCCGCATCGGGCTCCCTGCTCAGCGCGAAGCCTGCTTCTCCCTCTCCCACTCCCACTGCTTGTGTTCCCTCTCTCGCTGTCTCTCTCTGTTAAATAAATAAATAAAATCTTTAAAAAAAAAAAAAGAATGTAGGAGGCAATGAGAAACTGATGATACCCTCTCAGGCGAGGTAGGGAGGCAGGTGAGAAAGGTTCTTTTAACAGCTCTTCATGTGCCTCTATGCTCTTCTGTTATGGGAGGATCAAAGGCTTTCTGCCAAGACTTTATCCACTGCAGTTAAGCCTTGTATATGTGGCCTATGCGTTGGCATGCCAAGTTGCCAGGATGCCATGGTGTAGTCATTTCCCTACAAACGGGTAAGTTCAATCTCCTCCAAGTCCATAGACTCCTTATCGTTTTACTGTGTTTTAGACTAGAAAGTTGAAGTTTAAGAGAGATGGATGTGGCTTTGTGTTTTCCTTCTTTTATTTATGTGTTTCTCTCAAAAATCCTGCTACTTATATACCATTATTTTGATTCCAGATTTAAATTTTATTTTCAACCATGGCATTAAGTATTTTTTGAATTCTTAGTCATTCTCATTTTTTTCTCTACGTGACAAAAAAAAAAAACAGTGATATGATATGATGTTCATCTAAACAGTAGCACAGAATGTCCTATGAATTTCACACAAAAATACCCACGTGATTTCCTGCGGCTAAATGGAAATCCATTACTTGGTAAATTATATGTACATTTGAAGGGAACTGTAGGTTTTACAGATTGGATCAAGATGTTTCAACTGATGACAGTAACTGGATTGTAGGCTTGCTGGGATCTGCAGCGGTCTTCAATTTTATTGTAGAAGTGAGTATATTGCAGAGTGTAGGCCCTGGGCACGTGATCTACACTGAAGACCTACTTGTTGTGCCTTTTTAATAAAATATTTCTTCTTTTATCTTTTACTAAATAGAAACCAAATTGCTATCACTCTGAAATTCACCAGTCGCTTCCTTCATCCTGCTGAAGCTTCACTGCTATTAATTTCAAAACCTAAGCATGCAATAGGAGGGACTACAATGACTTTTGCTCTTAAGGGTGAAGTCCTCAGTTTTAAAGCCATTGTAAGTAAATTTTACCTATTTCGTGTGTCTTCTCTTCTCAGGCCATGGAGTGTCCCAAGCACAGCTGTTCCTCCAAGTTTTCTCTCAATACAGCTCCTGTTCTTTGAGAGCCTGTGTACAGACACACGTGCACATAATTACATTTGCACAATTCTTGGCTTCTGTGTCTCTGGTATTCTTGCTGTGATACTCTTTCTGTGGAAACAATTCTTCAATTTTATAAGAGGATTTGCTTGTATTGAGTCTTCCTTTAAGGTCAGATTTTTAGGATTATGTTTGTTCTTTTCATAATGGAGTCATTCGCTATACACATAGCAACTTATATTCCCTTCCGCTGTGGAGACTTGTGATTTAAGGTAAAGCAGTCCCTGGGCTTCTGTCTGTGTTTTTGTTTGAATTAAGGGTTGGTGGTTTATGCAGCAAAGAAAATGTTTCTCTTCTCTGATAGGAACATTCATCAATTTATCTTGAGTGCCCCCTGGATCAAATCCACTCTAAAGATAATGCTAAGACTGGCATTTATTGAGAGGCGATAACGTGCCAGACAGAATTCGGTTTATATCTCAAAGGGTGGGGGAGAAGGATTTTTAAATCTCTATAAAATAGTTGTGATATTGCTGTCATTGACTTTTTATAGCTGTTATTTTGTCTAAATATTATTTTATACCATGGATGTATGGTAAAGAAGAAGTAAACTTGTTATGTCGCCAGATTTCCGTATGGATTATAAAGAATTTATAAAGAATTATAAAGAATTTGGGGTGTGCAGTGGCATGAGTAGGAAAAAAAGAGATTGACTCCAGTAATGGCCAGTTGTGTGAGGAGAGCATTAAGTTGCTCACATGGACAGACTGATTTACAAGGTACAGACACCCAGAACAGGAAGCGGACATTTGATTATCACTGAGATGTGTGTCGTGATCTTCAGATTTCCTCTTGAATAATAAATTCTTACACTTCCCAACCCTCTCACAGGAATTCTCCAAAATAAAACATTGCTTTGCCATATGTGTCTCTAGACATGGATGATTTTAGTTTGTCATTTACATGGTTCTGGGGCAGAAAACCTGACACCTGAAGTTCATGCAGTCTGTTTACTTCTCCATCTGGCTACTCATGGTTTTAGTAATCCAGGGAGTGGGCTGGATAATAATGGAGAAATGAAATAAGATAATAACATGATCAGTCTAAGAATGTAGAATTCCTAGAATCTTATCTTCCATGCAAGTCCTTCGGGTAATTCGAAGTTTTAATTTTAGATGTGTGCTTTTATTACAGTACAAATAATGTCACTGTGGCCACCGCATTGTAAACAAGGCATGCCACACTCATACGCAGATATTCATGCACTCACAGAGCTATGCATGTGCACATACATACACCTTGCTTCTTCCTTATGTCATGTATATTAGGTATAGGTATGATTGATTAATTTTCGAATGTGAAATCATACTCAGTCATTAACAAAACCAATATTAAGGAAATCAGTTTAAGAGACACTGTTGTGACAAATAATTCAGTAATGTGGTAAAATCTATTTCTGTCCTTCCCACCCAGATTTTAGCAGTACACTATTTGTGGGACAAGGGAGACTGCATAAATTAATATCAGTGTAATATTTCAGTGTACTATTTTTTAGGTACTTTAAGTTTGTATATTACAATTCAGGTTATTCTTTTTTGTTACTTTCATATAGAATTATTATTATTATTATTATTATTTTTTACTTTAGGAAGTTTTACGTTGCAAATCTCCATGTTATAAATGGAAAGAAATTAATGTGAATGTTAAAAATCCCTTCCATACTGCTGGGGACTTCAGGTACGTTAATATAACATTTTCATATAATTTCTTTGCCATTAATCATATCCAATCTTAAGGTGAATAATTTTTTTCAACATGAACCGTTTTGAGGAGAAATTTTATGTGTTTACATTACAATAAATTTATGAACATCATCAGATAAAACAGAACAAATAATTAAGATAAATCAAGTTTTCTTAAAATGCTATTTGATCTATTTAAAGCTAAGAGTGAGCATATCAAATTTATGAATTTTGTCTATGAGCTTTCTGTTTGTTGAGCTATTCTAATCTTTTAAGTTTTAAAAATGTATAATTAATAGACTTTTTTACTTCTAATTTTATTCCATCTATTAATTTCTGAAAGTAAAATCCTGATTCAAGCAGAACATGCATTTTAACTTAAGGCATCATGATTAATTAAAACTGTACATTTACCATGTAGGGGCACCTGGGTGGCTCAGTCGTTAAGCGTCTGCCTTCGGCTCAGGTCATGATCCCGGGGTCCTGGGATTGAGCCCCGCCTTGGGCTCCCTGCTCTGCGGGAAGCCTGCTTCTCCCTCTCCCACTCCCCCTGCTTGTGTTCCCTCTCACGCTGTCTCTCTCTCTCTCAAATAAATAAGTAAAATCTTTAAAAAACAAAGAAACTGTACATTAACCATGAATTTGTGCATCTTGAGATTTAACAACAACAATAACAACAACACAGGTTTGAGATGAAAATAAAATGCTCAAGTATTATTTAAAGTCACAATAGACAAATATCTTTATAAACTTATATATTGACGGAGAAAACAGTCAGGGACACCCATGTATTGCTTCAATTATGCACTGTTTCCCTCGGCTTTAGAAATCAGATCCTCACAACGATACTTGTGTTGAGACTAGAAGCTGTATGTATGCTTATTATTTTAGTATTTGATAATATCCAGTTTTTAAAATCACTGTATTCCTAGGCTTTTGGTAGTTTCTTATTAATAATCATTTATTATTGATAAAACAAATTTTTTGTTAAAATAGTTATTGGTGAATTTATGGTTCCTATGTTCATGTAAGGGAGAGTTTCATTTACTGTAATTTTATTAAAGTGTTATATCAGAATGCAAGGAACAACAAAAAAAGTCAGAATATGTAGCATTAATCCAGTATTAAACTATGCCCTTAAATGAACCAAATGACTGACTCCAGTTCTTCAGAGGAAATCAAGATCAAACACAATTAGTCTTATATTCTAGTGGTAGAGCTGAAAGGAAATCTCAAAGTTCCAGGAATTGGTAGACTATTATAGTTTTATGTCTTTCAAAAAATCATAATATTTTATTGTTCCTTTATGGTTTATCTCAGGTTGACTTAAAATTCAATTGGAGTTGGTGCATGATTTGTTTGGTAGAGGACAAGGCTCCTTCCGCCTTTGTATAAATGTGGCCCTCAAACTTAGGCAATGGGCATGTAAACTCAAAATTTTAAAACCAATTACAAAATTTGTAAAATCAATATTTTACAACAGACATGTGTTTTAAAATTAAAAAAAATACAACAGAAAAGAAAGGAAATTTAATTGCCAATTCATTCTTCTGGAGATTTTTTTTATGTTATGAATACCATAACAATAAGTGAACTAGCTTTTAATGTTACACTTAAAAAATGAGAATTATTAACAATCTAATATGAAACATACTTTAAAACAGAATTGTCCATATATTTTCCCCAAAATTATATGCAGTGCAGTGACCAGATCTGATCACTTTTTAATCAAAATTTAACACTACTTTTAACAAAAATGGCAACCCAACCTAGATTTAACAGAGACAGGATTCACCCACATGCCTCTATCTACCAGATTAGTGGTTCTCAAATTCCTCTTTTGCAGAATGCAACTATTTCTTGCTATATAATGCTTTTTTATATAAGATTTGATTTCCTAGTATTTTGTTGAAAGATTTTACATTTATAATCGTAGGGTTTAATGGTATAATTCCCTTTTCTAGTGATGACTGTATCTGTTTTTTTGTGTCATTAATACTAGCCTCTGAGAATGATTTGGGAACTGATTCCTTCTATTCTGGTTTTTTTTTTTTTTTTTTTTTTGGAAGAGTTTGTGAAGTATTGGTATTAATTCTTTTAATCTTCAGTAGAATTCACAACTAAAGCCGTCTGGGTCTGAGCTTTGCTTTATGGGAAGTTCATTTCATTACTAGTTCTCTATTTGTTATAGGCCTAATCAGATATTTATTTCTTCTTTTAATCAGTTTTGATAGTTTGTGTCATTCTAGGAATTTGTACATTTCCTCCACATTATCTAATTTGTTGGCACAGACGTTTTCATAGTATTCTCTCAGAATCCTTTGATCTTCTTTCCTTTATTCTTGATCAGTCTAGGTAAACATTTGTCAGTGTTATTGATCTTTTCGAAGAACATTTTTTCTGGTTTTCTTGATATTCTCTATTATTTATTGAGGTAGAATTGACATATAAAAAAACTGCACATGTTTAATGTATACAATTTGATGAGTTTGGGCATATGCATGCAACCATAATACTATCACCACAATTAAGGTAATATACATATCTGTCACTTCCAAAAGTTTCTTTGTGTTACTTTTTTTTTTTTTTTTTTTGGTGGTAAGAATATTTAGCATGAGACTTACCCTCTTAACACTCTTTTTTTTTTTTTTTTAAAGATGTTATTTATTTATTTATTTGACAGAGAGAGAGAACAAGTAGGCAGAGAGGCAGGCAGAAGGAGAGGGAGAAGCAGGCTCCCCGCCGAGCAGGGAGCCCAATGCAGGGCTCGATCCCAGGACCCTGGGATCATGACCTGAGCCAAAGGCAGCCGCTTAACTGACTGAGCCACCCAGGGGCCCTCCCTCTTAACACTCTTAACAGATGTTTAAGCACACAGTACCATGTTGTTAACTCTGTTGTATATCACATCTCTAGGACTTACTCATCTTGCATAACTGAAACTTTATATAACAACTCTCCATTTCATCCTAGTACCAGTTGTTAGCAACCACCATTCTCTTCTCTGCCTTTGGAGTTTGACTATTTTAGATACTTCATATAAATGGAATCATACAGTATTTGTCCTTCTGAGACTGGCTTATTTCACTTAGCATAATGTCCCCAAGTTTCGAACATGTTGTCACATATTGCAGGATTTCCTTCTTTTTTAAAGCTGACTAGTCTTCCACTGTAATATATACACACACCACATTTTCTTTACTCATTTGTCTGTTGATGGACATTTGGGTTCTTTGGATTGTTTCCATATCTTGGCTATTGTGAACAATGCTGCAGTGAGCATGAGAGTAAAGATATCTTTTTGAGATCCAGATTTCAGTTTTGTTGGATAAATACCCAGAAGTCGAAGAGCTGGACCACATGGTAGTTCTACTTTTAATTTTTTGAGGAAACTCCCTACTGTTTTCCATAGTGGCTGCACCATTTTACATTCCCACCAACAGCATGCCAGTGTTCCCTTTTCTCTAGGTACTCACCAACATTGTTATATTTTGTTTCGGTTTTTGTGTTTTTTATAATTCTGACAGTTATGACGTGATATCTCACTGTGGTTTTGAAATGCATTTCCCTGATGAGTATGGATGTTCAACATGTTTTCATATACATGTTGGCCATCTATATGTCTTTTTTGGAAAAATGTCTATTCATATCCTCTGCCCATTTTTTAACTGGATTGTTTGTTTTTTTGCTTTTGAGTTGTATGAGTTCTTTATAAATTTTGGATATTAATCCTTTATCAGATATATGATTTGCAAATATTTTCTCCTATTTGGTAAGTTACCTTTTCATTTTTATGTTACTCTTGTATAGCTCTATTCCATTTCCCCATTTTTTGTAGTATTTTTGTCAGACATATTGTATCAATGGTGTTACAATAATAATGTTACTAACATTTTTGGGTTTTTTTTTTATTTTGTTTAATTTTTATGATCTTAAGAGAGCTGAGAGAAGAAAGGACAGTGTATTAGTTTGCTATGGCTCCCATAACAAAATACCATAGACCGGTGGCTTAAACAACAGAAACTTATTTTCTTACAGTTCTGGAGGCTAGAAGTACAAGATCAAGGTATTGGCAGATTGGGTTTCTTCTGAGGCCTCTCTCCTTGGCTGACAGATGGCCACCTTCTTGCTGTGCCCTCACATGTCTTTTCTGTATGTGCATATCCCTGGAGTCTCTGTGTGTCCACACTTCTTCTTGTAAGAACACCAGTCAGAATGTATTAGGGCCCACTCTAATGGCCACATTTTAAACTAGTGGCCTTTTTAAAGGCCCTGTTTCCAAAGGCAGTCACGTTGTGAGTGTACTAGGGGTTAGGGCTTTAACATAAGAAATTTGAGGGAGGACACAATTCAGCCCATAACAGAAAGTACACGTTTATAATTTTCATTATGTTAGCCTACTTATTTATCATTTCTGGTTTATTTGTTTCTATGGATTCTCATTATCTTCTGGAATAACTTCCATGGCTCAATCTAGCTTCGCTGCCCCCCACCTCAGTTTTTAAACAGTTTTTCTTTTATTTTCTCTCTGTCTTCTCCTTCCAGCAATTGTATTACACATGTGTTGGTGCATTTAATTGTGCACCATATATGTATGAGACTTTATTTTTCTTTATTCTATTTTCTGTCTGTTCTTCAGATCACATTATTTCTATCAATCTTCAATTTGTTAATTCTTTTTTTTCTGCCAGTTCAAATCTACTGTTGAGCCCCCCCTAGTGATGATGATTTTTATATTTGTTTTTGTAGTTTCCAACTCCAAAATTTTCATTTGCTTCTCTTTTTAATTTCAGTCTCTTCTTTTGATATTCTCTATTTGATATTACATTGTCATCATACCTTCCTTTACTTCTTTAGTCATGCTTTCCTTAGTTTTTGAAGACATTGATAACAGCAATTTGGAATTAGTATTCTATTAAATCTAATAAGTGGTCACTTTAACATGTGTTTCCGTGGCCCACTTCTTTTCATGTTTCATCATTTTTAAGGCTGAAA